CCCCGTTCCAGAACTGATCCCCGCTCTGCTCCCCCGTTCCGGGCTGGGCTCTGTCCCCTGGCCCGTCTCTCCGCACACCCGGAGATGCTCCCGCAGCCGCGGCCATCAAACATTCATGGCCTTCGGCTTGCGCTGCTCAGCCCGAGCCCCACGGCCTCTACATCTTTCATATTTCACAGGCAGGGAGGCAGGTCAGGAACAACCTGCAGCTGCTCTTATCACACCAGAAACAATCCGATTTTAAAGGCAAATAAACATCTTTTAAAAGCTTGGGATGCCTATAAAAGTGCCCGCTGAGCACAGCCCGAGCTGGGAGTTCTGCGGCAGCGCTGCGGGACCGGGCCGGTGTCCCGGGAGCCTCTCGCAGCTGCTGGAGCCGCTTTTCCTCCGGCTCAGCTCTTCCGTGCGTGGGCACAGCGCTCACTGCGCGTTCCGAGGCTGGCACCGATCGGTGCCAGCCACTGCCCGGGGCACACCGGGGCCGCCGGAGCCCACGGCCGGCCCGCAGCAGCCGCAGCCGAGCGGGAGCACGAAGGTTATCCTGGGGAAAATAAAGGGCTCGTTTACTGCTCGTGTTGCTGTTTGATGCTATCTCGGCCCACGGGGTGTTTACAGCCCCCGGCCGGGCCCGGCGCGGAACCGGGGCAGGAAGGGGCGATGCGGGCGCGGAGCTGCTCCACCCTCGCTGTGTTTACCCCAAATAAACCCCGCGGCCGCGGGCCGGCCGCACCTTAAGAGCGCGGGCAGGTGCGGGGCAGAGCGGAGCCGCGGGGTGGCCGGGCTGGCCCATGCTGCGGGTGGGCTCAGCCGGCCCCGCTGCCCCATGGCCGAGCCGGCCGCGGGCGAGGACGCGGGCACCGGGCGAGGTGAGTGCGCCGGGCGGGTCAGAGGGGCTGGGCACAGCCCGGTGCCTGCCCCGAGCCCCGCGGCTCGTCCGGGGCGGGCAGAGCCGGAGCCTCCGTTCGGCGCCCGGGGCCGGGCACCGGCGGGGCTCGGGATGATGCTCCGCGGTACCCGGGCAGCGCCCTGAGAGAGCCGAGGTGAACTTGGGGCGCAGACAGCCCCCGACTCAGCGCCGGTGCTGTCTCAGGCTGGTTCCTGCGGCCAGGAGCCCCCGTGACCGTGCTGGGGTCGGGCTGTGTCCGGGACAGGAGCGGCTCCGGATGCAGCAGCTCCGGCCCTGAGCCCGGCCCGCTGCTCCTGCTGGCCTCGGGCAAGCGCCGAGCTGAGCAGGAGAGCGAGAGCCGGAGCTGTGCCACCACGGGCTGTCCCCGTGTCCCCTTGGCTCAGCAGAGCTCACCCGGGCGGGCTCGGCTCGGCCCGAGCTCCCGCAGCCCCGGGGAAACGCCGCTCCCGTCTCCCGGCGGAGCTCGGGCTCGGCTCTGCCAGCGCCGGGCTGGGGCTGCCCGAGCCCTGCCCCGGGGCTGGCAGCGTTCGGGGGGTGAAAAGCCCCTCGCGGTGTGAGCAGCAGCCCTGACACCCAGCTGGGACCTGGCCCCACACTTCTCGGGGCCCGGAGCTGATGGAGAGGGCAAAGCCTGAAACGCTTCCCTTTGCAGGGGAGAGCAAAGAAATCCAGGACGTGGCTGTGAGGCTCAGAGCACCCCGAGCCAGGCTGGGGCGGCGAAAGGTGCTCAATAAACGCTCTTTGCCCTGCAGAGATGCTCGGCTCGGCCCCGGTCACCATCGTGGTCACGTCCGAGGCCGACACCTGGGACATCGACACCTCCTCGTGCCGGGGCCGCGGGCCCTTCGTGGACTGGGACAAGATGCCGGAGCCGCGGGGCCCGGCGCCGGTGCCGCGGGACGTGCTGGGCAGGCCCCCGAAGGAGCTGAAGCGGCTGGCGAGGGAAGGCTGCTGGGCCCGGAGCCACGCGGGCCGGGCCCGGCTCTACCCCCGGCTCATCCAGCGCGTCTCCTGCCGCCTCGTCACGCCCGACGCGCCGGCCTACCGCGACGTGGCCGGCCGGCTCTTCGGGAAGCGCAGCGTCAGCTCCCACCCGCTGCCCGAGTTCCTGGAGGGCTGCCCCGTGCCCACCTACTGCCTCAGCCCGCACGGGGTCACGGCCCTGAAGAAGATCCTGGTGTGCGTGGGCGCCCTGTTCCCCGACATCACGCACAGCCCCCTGCTGCCGGCGCTGGCCGCGCTGCTGCTGCACTACAGCGAGGACGAGGCCCAGTGCTTCGAGAGCCTCTCGCGCCTCATCGCCAGCAACGCGCCCCACGCCGCCTACATCGACCAGTCCTTCCTGGCCCACCAGGCCTCCTGCATGACCTTCGGGGACCTGGCCAGCAAGCACTGCCCGGCGGCCCACAAGCTCATCGCCGGCGCCGCCGACAACGTCCTCGAGGTCTACTCGGAGTGGCTGTCGTGGCTCTTCCCCGGGCTGCCCTTCGGCTACGCCGTGCGCGTGCTGGACGTGTTCCTGCTGGAGGGCCAGAAGGTGCTGTACCGCATCGCCCTGGCCCTGCTGAAGCAGTTCCGGCTCTCGGCGGCCCCGGCCGGGCTGCAGGGCTCCGACGTCAAGGCGGAGCTGCAGGCTTTCGTCAGGAACATCGCCGAGCACGTGTCTGCGGACAAACTCCTGGAGAGAGCCTTCGGCATCCGCCTCTTCTCCCGCAAGGAGATCTGGCTGCTCCACATGGCCAACAGGAAGGCCTTGGTGGAGAGGGGCATCACCGTGGTGCAGAGAAGGTGAGGAGAGCTCTGCACTCCCCAGCTCTGGGGCCGAGCTGCCACAATGTGAGTTCCTGTGGAGAGCCCCCGGGGGAGCTGCAGGAACCTCCCAGAGCTGTGGCTGGGCTGGGCCCTCACAGCCCCTGGGGGACCCTGTCAGGGGACACGGCACAGCCAGACCAGGGACCCTGTCAGGGGACATGGCACAGCAGAGCTGGGGGACCCTCTGAGGGGCACGGCACAGCCAGACCGGGGACCCTGTCAGGGCACAGCCAGACCGGAGACCCTGTCAGGGCACAGCCAGACCAGGAACCCTTGTCAGGGCACAGCAGAGCCGGGGATGTTGGCACAGAGCTCACAGTGCAAAGGGCAGGGCAGAACCTGCTGCAGGGGCTGTGCCCCGAGAAGCAGAGGGACCCCAGCCCGGCCTGATGTCCCTCCCCTGGCAGGCCGTCCTTCCACCTGGCCGTGGACATGCAGAAGTTCAGCTCCAGCACTGTCACGGCGCAGGAGATGCGCCTCGTCTGGTCCTGGATCCCCGAGCGCTTCTCGCTCTTCCCCCCGCTGCTGCTCTTCTCCACCTCCGAGGACGGCTGCAGCCTGCAGAGGTGAGGCCTCACCTGCCCAGGGCTGGGCAGCTCGGGCGGGCAGGGAGACCCGGGCAGGGCTTGCTGCTGGAGAAAGGAGCAGCACAAGTGACCTGGGCCACCTCTGGGGCTGCTGGGGACCCTCCTGGGCTCGATTCGGGCTCCTGAGCGTGGCTTAGGGGAGAGGGCAGAGGCTGGCCCAGGTGGCACCAACACCTGGGCACTGCCCGGGGCACAGGGAGCCCCGTGGGTGTGCCAGGCAGGGATGTCCCCAAGTGCCACCCCGTGCCAGGCAGGCTGTGGGCAGCCAGGGACAGCAGCACAGCCTGCCCAGGGCTCCAGCTCCCCCCAAGCCTGCCCTTGTCCATCTCTGCAGGTTCTACACGTGCTGTGAAGGCTACGAACCCACGGTGCTGCTCATCAAAACCACCGAGGGGGAGGTGAGCGTTTCCCAGGCAGGGCTGGGCAAGGGGACAGCCTGGGGATCCCACGGGAACTTCTGGAGCACCCAGGGGCCGTGTGGCCCCTGTCCCGCCCCGCCCGGGTCTGTGCCAGCTCCCAGCACAGCACAAACTGCACCTCTGGCCGCCAGGACACAGCTCAGCCGGGGGTGCGGGGAAACAGGAGCAGAGGTGAGGGGAGAGAGGCCACGAGTGAGACTGACCCACCCCTGGGCTCCCTGTGCTCTCTCCCGAGGTGTGTGGGGCGTTTCTCTCCTCCGACTGGGCCGAGAGGAAGAAGAGCGGAGCCACCTCGGGCTTTTTTGGGACAGGAGAGTGCTTTGTGTTCACTGTAAGTCTCGGTTTGTGTCTGGGCGTGTCCTGCCAGGACCCGCTGTCCCTTCCTTGCCCAGGTGCAGCCCCGGCCGCAGCAGCGGCGCCTTGGCGGCGGTGCCGCGGGCTCGGCAGGTCACGGCAGGTGTGTCCCGCTGCCAGGTGCGCCCCGAGGCAGAGAGGTACGAGTGGGTGCTCATCAAGAAGCCGGAGCTGGCCAAGGCCGTGCCGCGCCCCCGGCAGCGCTCGCCTTCCCCCGCTCCCGAATGCCTGCCCGGCTCGTCCCGGGACAGCCACAGCCCCAGGCACCTGGCCGTGCCCTCGCCGCAGAGGAGAGGCCGCCTGTCCCCGTTCCTGGCCACCAGGCACTTCCTGCTGCCCTCCGAAACCGCGTCCATGTTCATGTCCGGCTCCCGGGACGGCATCGTTATCGGTAAGGGGGAATCGATATCGGCAAGGGGGATCGATATCAGCAAGGGGGGGGGGTAATTATCGGTCAGTATCGGCAAGGGGGGTCGGTATCGGTAAGGGGGGTCGATACCAGTCAAAGGGGTCGATATCTATAAGGGAGGATCGCTATCAGTAAGGGGGATCCCTATGATAAGGGGGGGGGTTCCCTGTCGGTAAGGGGGGATTGATATCAATAAAAGGGCTCTATATCGATAAGAGGGGATCGATATTGATGAGGGGGATCCCTGCCGGCTCCCCGCAGCTCCACCCGGGGATCGCGTTCAGATCCGGGCAGCCAGCCCAGCTCCCCTTCCCGCAGCCCGGGAGCTGCTCCCCAGCCCCGGGAGCTGCTCCCAAGCCCCGGGGGACCCCCAAAGCCCCGGGGAGCCCCCCAGCCCCGGGGAGCCCCCCAGCCCCGGGGAGCCCCCCAGCCCCGGGGAGCCCCAAAGCCCCGGGGAGACCCCCAGCCCCGGGGAGCCCCCCAGCCCCGGGGAGCCCCCCAGCCCCGGGGAGCCCCAAAGCCCCGGGAGACCCCCAGCCCCGGGGAGACCCCCAGCCCGGCCGGGCTCGCTCCGGGGCTGGGGCCGCGGCAGCCTCGCCGAGCCGAGCCGAGCCGAGCCGCGCTCGCTCCGCAGGTGGAGGCGGAGGCCAGGCGCTGGCCCTGGACGCCAGCCTGCTCCGGGGGCGCACGGAGCGCTGCGAGACCTTCGACAACGCCCCGCTCTGCCGGGAGAACTTCCAGGTGCAGCTCTTGGAGGCGTGGGGCTTCCAGAGCGCGTAGATGCCGCGGGGACACCCCCGTGTGCCACCCGCGGGCACGGGGACCCCTCCCCGCGCCGGCCACCCCGGCCGGGCGGGGGTAAAGCCTCCAGCTCCTCAGCTGGCATCCCGAGCCCTGAGGAGGCGATGCCAGGCACGGGGAGAAACAGCAGCGGGTTTGCCCAGAGAGGGGATGGGCACTGCCTGGGGGCTGTGCCATCCACAGCAGGTGCACTGGGTGGAGCCGAGGGCACTCAGGCTGTTGTAAATGCAGGCGAACCCAATGGGAAGAAATGACAATGTTTGACTCAATTCAGAAGGCTGAATGATTTCTTTATTATAACTGTGCTAAAATACATCAATATACTATACAAAAGGAGGATACTAAAACTACATACTACTTTCTCTGACTCTAACTCTAAAACAACTCATGACCCTCTCTGAGAGTCCAGCCCCAGGTGGGTTGGATTGGCCATCAGCTCAAACAATCCTCACCAGAATCCAACCAAGCACTCACCCCAGGGAAACAATTCTCCAAACACATTCCACATAGGAAAACAAGGAGCAGAAATAGGAATTGTTTGCTCTTTCATTTCTCTCTGTGCACCTCTATGAAAAACCCTGAGAGAGAGAGAAATGTGCTTGCCACACTCAGACCCTTCCCAAGGCCTCCCGTGCTGATCCTCGTGGGAATTCCCTGCCAGCCACCAATTCCCACTCGGGTTTCTGCAGAGCTGCTGCTCTCACCCAGCCCGGCGCGGGCTCCCCAGGGAGGGAAGCCCTGGCAGCAGCTCGGGTGGAAAGTGGGTGCAGAGCTGCCAGGCTCAGCCCAGGAGCACCGCCCGCAGCTGCGGAGCCCTGGGCTGGCTGCTGCTCCTGCAGTGCCTACACAGCAGAGCTGCTCCCGGGGCTCTGCTGGACTCCAGGCCACAGCCAGGGCAGAGCCTGAACATCGGGGTGGTCCCTGATGGGGCAGGAGCAGAGCTCAGGGCTCACACCATGACTCAGCTGTGCCCACTGCTCCCCTCGCTGGGAGGAAGGCTCTCCTGAGGAGCCAGAGGCACTGCAAGGAGCTTGGCACAGCCCTGTTCCCAGGCTGAGGAGCAGGGATGGGCACCGGGGCCCAGCAATGCAGCACAAACCTCCCCAGTCCAGCACAAAACTCGCCAATCTAGCACAAAACTCCCAAATCCAGCACAAAACCCCCCAATCCAGCACAAACCTCCCCAATCTAGCACAAAACTCGCCAATCCAGCACAAAA